ATTTAGAGGCTGTCAGGGTGAGGGTCAGAGGTCAGCTGGGGTCAGGAAGTCTATTTCACTGAGGTCACTCTGGTCTCCTTTCAATGTAATGAAGCCATTATTGGTGAAAGCAAGTGCCTGGTGTCTTGCTCTGTGAAGCAAGGCCCACATGGGGAGCAGGGCTGAAAGAAAGAAGGGGACTCCCTTGGTTCATCCTCCTCCTGCCAATTCAACAGGCCTTAGAGGTGAGAGGTGCGAAATCCTGCTTGATGTAGGAAACCCTAGTCCCTGGAGTGGGATGAAGATGACAGCATGGGGTGAAAATAGATTGTTTCTCAGTGTAATTAGGAGTGAGAACTCTGCTCTGTCTCTTTCTCCATCCCTCTCTCTCTCCCTCCCTCACACACACACACACATATACACACACGAAAATCATACCACTTTAGAATGTCAGAAGTAGAAGAAACATTTGTCTAGCAAATAATCAAACTCCCTAATTGTACCCTTAAAAAGTAAACTGGGTAACTTCCTTGAAATCACAGAGCAAATTAACAGCCTAAACTCTATATATACTGTACCTTTTACTTACTTGGTTTTTTTTTTTAAGATTTATTTATTTATGCATATAAAAACTGAGGTACAGGCCAGAGGTGCAGGGGAGTGGTGAGAGGATTTACCAGAGACAGAGTGGGGAACAGAACAGGCAGATTGACTAAAATATACTGCTGAGAGGCAAGTTATACTGATTTATTAAACTTCAATTTCCTCTTCTGAAAGGTAAGAATACTTATTATTAGATATTGAGATATTTGAATAGGATTAGAAAATTGTCTGTGTTCTTGATAAATAATGGCTGTTATAATTGTTATAGTTAGGATAAGTTCCACAGAGACAGGACTTTTTCTATATGATAATTGATGTGTTCACAACACTGTAGCAGATAATGCCTGACATAGAGGGAGTACTCAATAAATATTTGTTAAATGTTGAATAAATGTTACTAACTTCTTTCAGCTTTTACTATTATTTAAGATTTATTTTTAATTATGTATGAATAGAAGAATTGGGGTATAGGCCAGAGGTATGGGGATGAGAGGATTTACCAGAGACAAAGTGGGGAGCAGAAGAAGCAGATCGACTGAAACACATTGTAGAGGGGAGCAGGGGAGGTCTGCTGTGTCTTGTGCACTAGCTCCCTTGCCAGGGATTGAACTCATGCTGTGGTGGCTGGCTATAGCTTGATAGCTCAGTGTTTTTAATCCCTGTGCCACTAGGGAGGCCCTAATATAAAGTATTTTTAAAAAAAGTATCTTAAAAGGGATGATATTCTTTGTGCTAATACTAGGCACTCCTGTTTTGTCTAAAAAGACCCCCTCCCTTTTAGTTTTCCCTGGCTATTCCTCTCAGAAACTGAGACAAAGTCAATTTCAAGAAACTTGCAGTAGCTCTGTCAGATTTTGTTTCCATAACTAGACTAATTTCTTGGAAGGCAGGTAATATTTCTTCTTTATTTTTTGGTGGAAATTTTTTTGTCATTATGCTACTTAGTACATATTAATCTATCTGATCCTGCCACCAAATTTATGAGCTAGCACAGTAACTGAATCATAGTAAGTAACTAATAACTTTTCACTAAGTTGGGGAGTCAAAAGCAGAAGAAAGTTAGGAGTCCCCACCGCCCACATGGAAACAACACAATGAGGAACCAGTTATGCTGAGAGGCATGTGTCCCTCTCTAAATAACCACATGCTTTGATATATACAATTTCATGAGGTCCTGAACCTTTCCTAGATTTGCATTGTTTAGACTTAAAAATACATTTTAGAAGAGTAAATATTATGGTTATTGTAATTAACATTCGTTATTTCAATTAAAGGGAGGAAACTCTTCTTGGGTGTCCTCCGTGGATCAGGCATTGAGAAAGAGCTACAGAAAGAAAAAATATATGAATGGCTCCAGTCCCTAGGAAGCAAATAATCCAGCAGATTCTAGATCATAGAGACACACATGTGTGTACTAGCTATAATAATAGTGAAAATTAGTGTTATTAAGAATTAACTATATATCAGGCAATATTTAAAAAGTTTTACCTGCCTGATCTCACTTTAACAGAAAACTGAGACAGAAGTCAATCATAGAGACACACATGTGTGTACTAGCTATAATAATAGTGAAAATTAGTGTTATTAAGAGGAGGAAACCCCCAAGGCATAGAGAAGTCAAATTTTTAAAAAAGATTTCTTTATTTATACATAAAAAAGCAGGGGTGCAGGACAGAGGTGTGGGGTGGGGGTTGGTTTGAGAGGATTCACCAGAGACAGAATGGGGAGAAGAACAGGCAAATACACTGAAATGCACTGCTGAGGGGAGCAGCGGGTGAGACAGAAGTCTGCTGTGCTGTGTGGGTCACCTCCCTGGCCAGGGATCAAACTTGTGCTGCAGTAGCTGCAGATAGCTTCTTAGTGCTGTGAATTAACCTGTTGTGCCACTAAAGAGACCCGAGAAGTCAAAATTTTTATCCCATGTCACAGAGTTGTAAATGGTTGATTTCAATCATGGGTATGTTGACTCCAAAGTGTGTGATCCTATGAAAGTGTTAATTATTAAGGAAATAATATGAATACATGTAATAATCTCTCTCATACTCTGGTTCTTACTTAAATTCAAAAATATTATCTTTATATCCCCATATATGCACTGCTCTCACGCAGAATCATGTACAGCTGGAAATGCCCTCTTTTTCCCTTTCAAGAAAGTTTTTTCAAGTGTGTCAGGGATACTGGGAGGCTGAGAAGAATCAAGTTTCCTGGGGACAACTTGTAAGTGGGTACTCAAGAAAGAATTTTCAAGCTGGTAACCGGGAGCCAGGTGAGCGCTGTTTTGTTCAGCACCGTGGACAGAGCCCGATGATTTCTCAGGACCCTGGACAGAGAAGCTGGTAGCGCCTGTCGCGGGAACAAATTTCACTGGAGACCAAACTAAGGCAAAGCCCGAGCGGGGAGCTCTTTTCCTTCTCTCTCTCTCTCTCTCTTTCAATCTCTCTCTCTCTCTCTCTCTCTCTCTCTCTTTTCAGCCTGATTTTAATCACCTGCTCCTCAGTCTTAAGAACAGAGATACACAAAATGAATATACTTTAAGGGCTCTAGTAAAGAGGGAGAGAATGAACACCTAGGTGAAGAGGATTATATAAACAAATATGATTTTGGCTAATGTACTCCGAGAAATCTTGGAAGATCTAAATTAGGGTCCTCAGGAGGGAATGGGACGTTGCTTATGATATGTATTAAAGATCTGTATTTTTTTTAGGTTTAATACCAAAGTTCCACAGTTGTCCTTTTTATCAACTCACATTTTATCCCTTATTTTCAAGTTGTAGTCTCTTGGAGCGCACTTTATGTAGGAAAGAGAAAAATAATCTCCCCACAACCTCTTGCTCTTCATCCCCACCTCCCCCTTTCCTACCCTCCATTCATTCCCTTCCTCTTTCTCAAATACACACGTGCACACACATTTAGGGTGAGATACACAAGAGATTCTGCACACTTGGTGGAGAAAATTAAATTCAGAGCAAGCGGATGCCCCCGAAAGAAGGCTCTGTCCCTTTAAATGGGTTGTAGCAGTGGGGGAGGGGAACTGGCCGGAGCTGGCATTGTCCAGTTTGAACTGAGCACCGGAAGTGAAGGGGCAGGGCCAGGGCTGTGCACTGAGCCCTGGGCCATTGTCCATCTCCGATCAGGACTCCAGCCATCCCCCCCGCCAACCCTCTTTATCTGCTAGAAGGGGAGGCACCTTCAAAATGAGGAGGACCCCCTTCTCTATTTCCCCCACCAACCCTTCTTTGGGGAGGGGAGTATACTTTAGGATGATGACTCTAAAACGAAGAGGGTCTGAAAAACTTAAGAGTGTCTGGAGCACTAGAGGAAATGCCTCACCTAACTACCCACCTAGTCCCTCTCCCAGCCCAGGACTGGGGCAGCAAGGGGAAGGTGCAGGATGAGAAGGCAGCTAGGGGAGAGAGGAACGCACTTTAAGTCTCTTTGGGTTCTTCTCAGGAAGCTTCACATGGGGTCAATTTGAGATAAAGATTTGGGGAAAAGAGTTCTTCACACAAACTCAGAAGCTCTTTGAGCGCTCCAGAAAAACTCAGAAACTTAGGGAGGCAGAGACATTCAGTAAGACAGAGACTGACTACCGCTGGTCAGGATTGGAGATCAGCCCTGCCGGATCTCCAGTCTCCCCCTATTCCAGGCTTCCAAGACTCCAGGTCTATCTAAGCACAGGGGGGTGGAGTGAGTGGTGGTGAGAGCGGGTCAGCGCCTAGCAGCCGGGTCAGCTCAGAGGCCTGTAGGGGAAGAGAGGGGGAGGGGCGCTCAAGGACTGGGGGAGGGGGAGGGCTCATCCATTTCTCCCTTGACAGGTGGTTTGTGACTCTGATTGGCCGGCGCTGCCAGGCTCACACCTCCCTCCCCCAACTCTCTGGAATGTATAATTATCTGCGCGGGGGGTGGGGGTGGGGGTGGTGTGTGAGTGTGTGTGGGAGCAGTCACATGGTTTAAAAACTAGCCCCCCACGGGTCCCCCACCTGTACGCGGCTTTGGGGACCCCCACTGAGTTCTTAAAGTGCATGATCCCAAATTCTGGGGTATTCAGGATTCTAGGGTTAACGATCCCCATCTCCAGATGTGTGTGTGGGGTGGGGGTGTCAAACCTCAAGGTTCTGAGAAGGGACACCCCAGAGGTGTCAGAGACGGCAGCGTTGGGGGAGGGCGGGAGCTGGAACTGGAGGGAAAGGGAGGGGAAAAAGAGGGAGGGGAGGGGAGGGGAGGGGGCTGCCCGCGGGGGGTTGGGTCATTGTCTTTTAGAATTTGGGAGCCTTTGAAAAGCCGTGGGCCCTCCCACCGCTATTGTGCTGGGGAAGATGTAGCAGCCTCTTCTCCGAGCCACCCCTTTGCCTCCGGACTTCTCTGGGGCCAGCAGCCGCCGGACCAAGGGCCCGGGGCCGCGGGCTCAGCCGACTACCATGGGCTCTGTGTCAAACCAGCAGTTTGCAGGTTCGAGCTCGGGACTTATCGGGACACCTTAGGCTGTAGGGGCGCCCAGGAGCCACATAAAAGGGAGGTGGGGAAGTGTCCCTCAGGTTGGCCGACGGACCCCTAGTCTCTGCGGCCTCCTGTTTCAGGGGGCCAGCTCTGGAGCAAAGAACACTAGTGTCCCAGCGGTGTGCTCGCCGAGGCAACGGGGGCGGGGGTGGGGGGAGAGAAGAGGAGGGGCCTGCCCGGTCATCTGTCCCCGGGCAACGTGTGGTGGGAAGAGGAACAAAACTTTCGGGGCACAACTAGCCTCAGTGTAAGCTTGGGGAGCGCGGGAGGCGACCTGGACAGGTCTTTTCTCGCCCGCTATTTAGTAGCTGCAGTTTCCTGGCTGTCCACCCACGGGATGGACCCTAGGGTGTCCCTGCCGGGTGTTTTGAGAGGGCCCTCCAGTTCCGTGCCCCCACGCCCCCAGCTGAGCGCCCTCCCAATCTCCAGGTGGCTGCGCGAAGGCGCCGGAGGAGGCGCCGGAGGACGCGGCCCGGGCTGCAGAAGAGCCGCAGCTGCTGCACGGTGCCGGCATCTGTAAGTGGTTCAACGTGCGCATGGGGTTCGGCTTCCTGTCCATGACCGCCCGCGCCGGGGTCGCGCTTGACCCTCCGGTGGACGTCTTTGTGCACCAGGTGAGACCGATTCTGGTAACTTTGCCGTGAGAAAGGGATCTTGGCGCGCATATCCAAAGATGTGCGGACGGACTTGAATAGTGGCTTGAAGGACTTTATTGTGCGTCCCCATCTTTGTGTGGCACCCCAGTTCGAAGCCCTTGTTAATCCCCTCAGAAGGGAGTTGAGGGACAGTGCCTGTTAGCAGCACCCCCACCCCCTTCCAGGAACCCCTCTGACTTACCACGTGTCTGATACCTCCTTCCCCTGGGAAGGGGGCAGGGGGCAGGGAGGTGACCCCATGTGGCAGAAACTAAGGTTGTATTGTGCTTGCCTGTGGGGGGAGGGTGAGCAGGCCGGCCAGGCAAGCACATGCCCGGCCAGCGCGCAAGGCCCTGAGACCCCAGCTACTTTGCACCAAATGACTGGAGCTCCCAGCTGGAGAGGGAGGGTTCTGTTTGGGACCCTGTGGGGCAGAGCTGCGAAGTCAGCCAAGTCTTTCCCAGGTAGTCAACCAAAACTCTGGGTGAGTTTGGCAGATTTTAGAATGACTGGGAGTGGGGGAGAGGAGTGCGCAGTGGAAGACTTGAAAAGTCCAGAGGACCATCTCGAGTCACACAGTTCCCGACTGGGCTTCTGCTGTCCAGTTCCCACAGTGAAAGAAAATCTGGAAGCCCAGGTCAGATTCCTGGGCCAGCTGGGAGGGAGTTAGGTCACAATCCCAAGTTCTCAGTTAAAGCAGCATGCTGCTGGTGAAATTCAGTGTCTCCGGGCAGGGGGTGGGGAAGCAGCCTCTGGACACATTCTCCTCAGCTGGCATTTATGGCCCCCAGACAGCCATTGATTGCTGTCCTCACATTCCCGACCTCAAACAAGGAGCCAGAGACTCCAGGATTCCCTCCTCCCTGGCCTCCTTCCTCACTCCATCCTAATTATTTTAGAAACATTACTGGATGGCCCCGGGACTCCTGCCTCCCTAACTACCGAGTAAACGAAGGTGCTTCCCTTCTCCCGCCCCACCTTTGCGATTTGAGCCGGGACCTGGGATGAAAAAATTCCTAATCCCTGGCCCAGTAGGTTGACACCAAGCCGGGCAGGGAGGGGTTACTTCGGGGAGGTTGGCTTTAGGAGCAGTGGGGGAGGGGGAAGGAGGATGTGGGGATTAAGGGTTGGAGCCTGAGGGATGGTATTCTGTAGGGGGAGGGGTCGAAGGGGGAGATGCTGGGTAGACTGGGTCCGAGGCAGCAGGGAAATCTCAGCTCTACCCCTCAGTAAGGAGGTTGAGGGAGGATCCCCAGGATCCCTGGAGATGGGACCAGCCAGTTAATTTGAGGATCACTGGGCCACTGGAACATCAGGCAGGAGGGTCTGCGGCGGAGTGCTTAGCTGTGCCCTTTCCTCCCCCACCCCTTGTTCCCCCCACCAGACCTCTAGTTCTGACTGGTGGCTTTGCCCCTCCCTGTCTCATTTACATATGTGAATGATAACCCACAGGAAGTAATTGTGGGAGAAAGAAGGGAATTGGCCTCTTTAGATCTATTAAATCACTTTATTACAGGAACCAGCTTTGAATGGCCCTCCTCAGCGGGGCGGCCAGCTCCCCCACTCTCCCATTTATCTGATCACAAAGAGATTAAAATCTTTCAGGTCTGGAGACCGACTGGACAGCTTCCCTAACTTTGGGAGGCTTAGAGTGAGAGTCAGACCCAACATTTTCTTGTCTCCCTTCCAAAGGTTTCTAAATAAGGAGAGGGTTAAGGGAATGTGGCCCCTCACCTTCTGGGGGTTCTTGATGATATCCAGGTCTCAAAAGGTTTCCTGGAGCAAACAGCTCTGTGCTGCGGCAGTCACAACTAACTGTTGGGTGGAAGGGAGAAAACCGGGACCTTAAGGTTTGGGAAGGAGGGCGCAGATGGTGCTGCTTCAGATGGATTAGCTGGGAAGTAATCTTCAGGGTCCTGGAATGTCCAGGGACATTCCACAGTTGAATAAGTTATCAGGAGGGAATTGAGCTGGGATAACGAATTAAGAATTTGTCTCCCTAACAGCCTCCGCCTCCCAACAAGTCACAGAGGACAATGACTGGTGGAAATTTCCTGAGCCTTAACCTGGTAGCTGTGGGACTGGGGTTGGTCTCAAATCCTATCTTAGTAGTTGGTAACCCAGACTTGTGATTCCAGTTCCTAAACTTGGAAAAATCTGAAATAACCCTGGAGATCTAATGTACAGGAATTTAGTAGGTCAGGATGATCCCTAAAAGTTGCCATGGGGAAGGTCAGTGTTGAAGTGGAGAGAGTGAGAAGTTACCAAGAAACTTACTACCCTTTTTGGGGGCACTCTGGTGTGGGTGGTGAGTCTGAGACATTTGCCTGAGGAGGGAATCAAGGAGCTTTTCTCCAAGGAAAAGTTTGGGGAACAATTCAACGTCTTTATTTGCCTCTTAAGTCTGAGCCCATTTGGTACCCAAATATATTGTCCATCCTCCCTCTAAATACTGTCTGTCCCCACCCTGGAAGTGGGGGGCAGTTTTTGACCCTAAAAAACCAATAACCCATAAACCAAAGAGATTTCAATAAAAGTCACAGATCTTTGGTTCTAGAACTCTACCTGTTGCTGGGTTTGGGGGAATTTGAAGATGACACTGAATATGGCAAATGGTCAGCCCTTAAATCAGGGTTCTTGGTCTCCTCATGACTGAGACTTCGATCAGGTCTGCCACTCATTCTGGCATTTCTCAGTTGTGACCATCAAAAATGTCCCCAGGGTACCCCAGTATCACCTCTTTCAGAAAGAGTTCTGCCAGGGAAAGATGGAACAAGAAAACATTCTCTTGTCTCCTGTTTTCCAGAGATTCACCAGTTTCAGAAATTTTGATGACCACTTGAACAGTTTTGGCTTGATTTAGACTTCTTGTGGCTCAACTCCACACGAAGGTAGCAACTTCAAAATGAGAAAAAGTTCCCCTCAATTCCCCCTCTCCTCTACTCAGAATTCAAATCTGTTTAAATTCCTGTATTAAAAGAATTTGAGGCATAAGAGCCCACATTTGACCACAGAACTGAGTTTTCGCTACAAGGGGAAAACAATACTGAGGAAATTGCTGAATCCATACGGATTTTTTTTTTTTTTTAAGATTTATTTATTTTTGTAGGGATGTGAAAAGATTCACCGGAGATACTGGGGAGCAGAACTGGCAGGTTGACTGAAATATACTCTTAAGGAGAGCAGTGGGCAGAACAGGGAAGGTCAGTTTTGTCATGTGGGTCAGTTCCTTGGCCTCAGTGGCTGTGGATAGCTTCATAGTACTACGACTTAACCCCTTGCACCACCAGGAGCACCTGGTTTCTTAAAAAAAAAAAAAAAAAAAAGGCCCTCCCTGTGGTGCAAAGGGGTTAAGTCACAGCACTATGAAGCCTCCCACAGCCACTGCAGCAGAGTTTAATCCCCAGCTGGGAGATAAGTAACCCCTGTCTGGCCTGCTACTCCCTTCCCCAGTGTATTTCAGTGATTCTGCCTGTTCTGCTCCCCACTCTGTCTCTTGTGAAGACTCTCACTGCCCCTGCACCGCTGGCCTGTACCCCAGCTCTGTATGCAGAAATAAATAAATCTTTATTTAAAAAAACCCAAAAATCAGGTTGGGAGTGGTGGGAACAACCCAGGCAGGGTCTAGATAAGCCCCCCCCCGCTCCGTGTGTCCTCTCATTATTCCCCTCCTGTCTAGTTAGGATTGTGCTTGTCTTTTGTCTTATCCCCTCTAAACTTGGAGGACAGGGGCTAGTCTGGTTAGTTTTTCTAGTTCAGGGAACTTGATAGATGAAGGAACAACGGTGAAGCAACTCCTGAGGCATCAGGTCCACTTAGCGTTTGGGGTTTTGTCATACCTTCCTTCAGAGAAAGACCAAGATAGAGAGGGGATGTTAACTGTTTCTGGACCTGGTACCTGGAATAGGACCTGCCCTTATTAGTACAAAGTCCTAGTGAAGATGTGTGGCCCCGCTGTTGAGCCACAGATAGGGTCCTCGTTTGTATTCATGGACTGGGATCTATGCCTGGTAGTTCAGTAGTTCTTTCATTCCACCTTAATAAGAAAAAACATTGAAAAAGTAAGTGAACTGCTTTTGAGTTCCTGGGTAATAACACATGAGTTTGTTTGAACATTGTGGGATCTTCTTCAGGTCTTCTCAGTGAGATGTGCCTTCTAGACTGTTGCAAAATAGTCTGTGCTACTCTCCTGAGCAAAACTTGTATGAGGAACTTCTTCGACCTTGTAACTAACTGATGACTCTGTTGCCTGCTCTGCAGATGGTTTTCAGTGACCTTACCCAGGGCAAGGTTGTTGCTAGAACATTCCTAGTCAAATTATCCCTCTCTCCACTCTACTGGAATTCCAAGTTTCTGGGAAAACTACCCTAGGCAAATCAACCTCTGTCTCCTTCCTACAGGCCTATCTATATTAAGTCTTTATGGGAGGTCAGGGGTTAGAAATTATCTGGGTTTAGTTATTTAATTCAAGCTGGAAACCTAAGCCCAAGGGATGTAAATAAATGGCTTTTGAAATTCCTTTTTTCTGAGGACTCAAATTAAAATGCCCACCCCTAAAGGAGCTGGGGGCGAATCTGACAGTACTTCTGTTCACAGCTCAGGACCAGGCAGCAAACATCCTTCCTGGCTTCCTGGGGCCACCTTTGTCCACAGGCTGGTGAGCAGCGCCACCTGGTGGTCAGCTCCGGGCAAGAGGCAACGGTATCAGCTGAGTGATGCAGGATTGGTGTGTGCTGTATGTAGCCTTTGGTTCTGCACATCTTCCCCACCCTCCCTGAAGCACATCATCAGATAGCATGGTTTTAGGAAAAACAGTTCCTTCTCTAACCCCTACTAAACCTTACCTTTAGGAATAAAGTTCAGGTTGCCTTGGGACTGAGTCATGAAACTTGTCATCTTTTTTAATGTTGCTACTAGAAAATATTTTCTAAGTCTATGCAACATGCCTTATGTTGCACGTGTTGATTATAGACTCGAGC